CTTCATCTTTCACAAAATACCAACCACCTTACTCTCCTTCCTGTCTTCTCTCATTACTCCCTTATGCAATGGGTGCTTTTCTCAGATGTATTCTCATAAGAGATGTGGGGTGGTGGTAGGTAGGTATGTTTTTGCTTCCAAAATAATGTTATCTTGTGCACTGTAGGATGTTTACTGGCATCCCTGCCTTCTACCCATAGGTGGCAATAGCACTTCCAAATTGTGACAACTAAAAATGTCCCTAGATACTGTGAGATAGTCCTTGGGAAACAAAATTGCCCCCAGTTGAGGACCATTGTTCTACAGCAGTCCTGTTCAATTGAAGTATAACACAAGCCACACATGTAATTTAAAAATGTCTTATAGCCATGTTTTTAAAAAGAAGTACATGTACAATAATAAATATAATAGTAATATTTTATGTGATGTACCAGTTAACATGAAATGTAGTTCTACCAAAACAATAAAGTTTGTGTTTAGTGGGAAACATTTAACACAGCTTTAGCTTGTACATTTATTTTAAAATTTCAGAAATTCAGTTCTGCAGTTATACAGGCCACATTTCAGGTAGCCACATGTGGCTAGTGGCTATTGATTTGGACAGGGCAGGTCTAGAGTTTCTCAGTTGTGTAATCAAAAGTGGACAGACAGTTTTAATTTGTATAGTTCAGTAGCCAAGATGTAGAAATGGGTATCTGTCTAGTTACCTGGGTGATCAGCCTACAATGATCACTGGGGATGATGGAATACAGTCAGATTGTTCCCCACGTGCCCCATTAGCAAAACATGCCATTCTCCCCAACATCACCTGATTTCTTTCACATCATCCACCCACTCAGCAACTTCCTCTCTCCACATTTTGCTTCCTCCCTACTCCTTTCTACATTTTGCTTCCTTTCTACTCCTCTTTCCACCTAAATACTATATAAGCAAAGAATTTATAAGACTTCAAATTTTTTTTTTTTTTTTTTTTTTTGCCAACTGAAACATAGGGAACCTTAAAATAGGGATAAACATGTGAAGTTCTTACAGTAGAAATTTTAATTGGCTATATGTTAGAACAAAATCTTTATCAGGAGTAGGAAGGCTGAAATATGTTATTTTAAAACATATTTTGTCATGAAGGGATATTCTGAAGATATAAAACTTATATATAATGATTTTTTATGTCAGAAATAAATGTGAGGCTTTCTATGATTCTCATTTGTTCAGTAATTACTCAACAAATATTTATCAAATGCTGACTATGTCATGCATGTATCAGGTGCTGGGAGTAGAGTAGTGAAGCAAATGGAGTTCTTGATCGCATAGAGCTTATATTCTAGTGGGAAAGAGTCAGATAATAAGTAAAAATAAAAAATGTCAGGTTATGGTAAGTGCTGTGAAGAAGATTAAGACAAATTATATCAGGAGTGCCAAGAGAAATAGAGATAGGATTGCTATTTTATACAACGTGTTAGAGAATTGTTCTTTTAGTAGAATGATTCTCAGACTGGGGTCTGAGTGGGCCAGGGTATGCACATCATGATAGAAAAGTTTCATATCTTCCTGAAACATCCAATTTTATTCAGAGATATCCTTGGGAGCAGATGATTTTTAGTGAATATGTCGTGGTTAGTAATATTCCTCTGAATTTTAAGGATAAAGCGGTAGACTTTGAAGATTGAGTTGACTTATTTCTGCCTTTAGTTCTGTAGGCTCCTGAATACTCAGGTTAGGTGGCTGAAAAGTCTGAGAAGCACTGCCTTGGTATGTCACTGTCTCAAGAAGTTTCAGAAGAAAATAAGAGCAGGACAGTGTTGGTGGTGTTCACATTGGTCTATCCAGACTCTAGCACAGTGCGTGGCACATAACTGGGGAGGGGAAGTGGTGGCCAATATATTTAGCTTGAATAACCCAAAGTAATGTAGGAAAATATAAGTAAGTGAATGAAGCACAGGAGTGCTTTTGGTTGGATGTATGTAATTACTCAAAATATCTTTGTTTCTGCTAGAGCCTTATGAGATATGTAGATAGGCCTTAGCCAATAAATGATCTAGACCCCAAATTAGAGGATTAGAAGTTGAAAGAAAAAAGTGGCTAGAAATTCAGATAGTGTTGGGCTGGCTCTAGTAAAAAAAAGATCTTAAATAACTAAATGTCCTTTTTTATTACTAATCTTAAGACTTCTTTGAAAGTGAACTTAAAAACATTTCCATGACTTTTATAAATGTCCAAGAATTGATCTATATATTTAACCTTTGATCAAATTTGTTCAGATTTACAATAATCATAGCTAATGAAAGAGGGGGGTCGAAATGGATCCCATTCACTAAGTAGTTTTAATTTAAAGGGAGAGAATCCGGAAAATATAAATGCTAATGTTCAAGATGATTGACAGAAAAATGTAATTTAGTAGTCAAATAACGTTATCTTTTAATGGAATGATAGATCTGAACCCCACTGCAAAGGAACAGGTTAAAATGCTTGATACTATTACAATTGACAGTAGTAGAAAAATAAGGTTATTTAAAAAACAAATGAAAGACTTCCACTTCTAGGAAAATTGAGTAGATATATTTTTCCCTATTCCTTTTGCTAAATACACCCAAAAACCCAGGATGTTACATGTGAAACAAACATAAGAAGACTCTGAAAGGTAGAGAGAGAAAAATTGAGATTGAGTGGCTAGGGAGCTTGAGACCCAAGGAACAGCATGATTGTTAGTTCTTTTTTATATTTCTTGTGACAGAGTCTTGCTCTGTTGCCCAGGCTGGAGTGTGGTGGTGTGCTTTTGGCTCACCGCAGCCTCCGCTTCCCAGGATCAAATGAGTAGCTGGGATTATAGGCATGTGTCACCACTGCCAGCTAATTTTTGTATTTTTAGTAGAGACAGGGTTTCGTCATGTTGGCCAGGCTGGTCTCGAACTCCTGGCCTCAAATGATCCACCCATCTTGGCCTCCCAAAATGCTGGGATTACATATGTGCGTTACTGCGCCCAGCCAACTTGGTGGTTAGTTCTGTGGGCTCAGGTTCTCCCCCGCCCCACAAGACCCTGTCAGGAACCTGAGCTGTGTTTTGCCTCATATGTACCAGACTTGGAGCTAAAGAACCCAGCAACCTGGAAACCCTAATAGGCACAAACAAAAAAAGCCTCAACAGAAGGTGCTCTCTAGCCAAAGGGGCAGGAAAAGGGCATCTCACCAAGACAAAAGCTGTTAGACTGTACTTACTCCTACTCCAGTCAAACACCACAGAAGAAACTGTGGCCCCACCCTACCATGCCAGTCAAAGACCATGCCAGGAGCCTAGATTTCCACCCTTCCCAGGTTGTAGCGAGGCATCTCAGCCTCCTTGCTAAGTGGTATCAGAGTTGGAGTAGGGAGCCAAGACTTTTATCCTAGCCAGGCAGTAATGAGGCCCCTCCCATGTCAGTAGAGAACACATGGAGAGCCTCGACTTTCACCCCATCCAGCCGTAAGAGGCAACCATTCCCTTCACACTGGGGTGGTATCAAAGGAGGCCCAGTGGAGAGTCAAGGCTTTACCATCATGTAGTAGCAAGGCCCCCTCCGTGGTGTCAACACCATGTGACCATGTAGGGGAACAATAATGAGACAGTCCTACCCCTTCTACCCAGGGAGGCATTAGCGGAGGCCTAGGGGGGTGCTGGAACTCCCAACCCTGCTGAGAAGCAATGAGGAAACCCCTCCCCACTTACATGTTAGTGGAGGCTGAGTGGGAAACCTGAACTGACAGTAATGAGACAGCACTCCCACCCCCCACCCACTTTCTCTGCTAGTGTGGTGTTAGAAGAAGAGAGCTAAAACAGGATTAAATAAGATCCAGAGTGTCATAACATAATACCTAAAATATCCAGGTTTCAGTTGAACATAATACATCATACCAAGAACCAGGAAAACCTCAGCTGAAAGGAGAAAAGGCAGTGACAGAGATTTTAGAATTATCTGACAAAGATTGTAAAGCAGTCATCAAAGAATCACTTCAGTGAACAATTATAAACACATTTGAAGCAAATGGAAAAATAGAAATCTCAGTGAAGAAAAAGGTCTCCTCAATGCAGATTTGAAAAACTTTACTCTCTTTCAAATAACAACAAACAAAAAACTAAATTAAACAGTTCTCTTTTTTGGTTTTCTCTTCATTCTTACCACCCTAAAGAAGTTGTCTTTAACATCTGTTTTCTTCTCAGTTTCTTTATCTAATGTATCTACAAGATTTTACCTCCTACGTGACTCTGGAATCCATCCATGAATTAACCACGTGCCTTATTCTAAGTTACAGTCTCTGCAGTGGCCTCCTAATTGTTCTTCCCACTTGTACTCTGGCCTCATTCCAGATACACCTTCACACTCCTGCCAGAGCAGTCTTTTCAAAGCTCTCATTTTACCACAGCACTCTCAACCCCCTACTCACTTTTAAAAATGTTTAGTGGATTTCCATTGTTCTTAGGTTAAGGACCCAAATTCTTAAAACGGTTTTCAAAGCCTTAGGCAGTCTGGCTCCATCCTCATCCTCCTCTCTTTTCTTACACTTTGCCACACTGATTTCTTTTAGATCCCCAAACCACTGTGAACCTTTCTGCCACAGTTAATTTGCATGTGCTAGTCTGTCTTTCTGAAATACTTTTCCCACCTCATTTTAGTTAGCTTCTACTCGTTCTTCAGATCTCAGCTTAGGGGTTACTTTGTCAGGAAAATCTCTCCTCGTCCCTAATTTCCTGGCAGGTTCTTTTGCTATACCGTTTTGTAGAGTTATCTTCTGTGTCTGTGTTTCCCACTTGAGATGCATGACAGCACTGATTGTGTTTTTGCTCAGTGCTATATCCCGAGCTGCTACCTGACACATATGGACACACCAATAAATATTTGTTAAATGAATGAGTAAATCTCTTTCCTTACCTTCTTTATCCAACTTTTTAAGAGTAGTCAATACTTTTTTGCTTTCTTTTTGTCCCTATTGTTACAGCCATAGGTAGTCTTTTGCTCTTTAATTCTAGACCATGTAATTATATAATCAAACTTCTGCTTCAGTGTTTTCCCATTTTCTTTTGTTTCTTCACAGAAGTCTGATTGTGTCATTACTCTGCTCAAAAGCCTTTCCCTAAGACCTGAAACCATAAAAATTCTAGAAGATAACATTCAAAAAACCCTTCTAGACATTGGCTTAGGCAAAGACTTCATGACCCTGAACGCAAAAACAAACACAAAAAAAAGAAAGATAAATAGATGGTACTTAATTTAAAAAGCTTCCGCACAGCAAAAGAAATAATTAGTAAACAGACAACCCACAGAGTGGGAGAAAAGCTTCACAATCTATACATCCGACAAAGGACTAATATCCAGAAGCTACAAGAACTCAAACAAATCAGTGAGAAAAAAGACAAGCAATGCCATCAAAAAGTGGGCTGAGGACATGAATAGACAGTTCTCAAAAGAAGATATACAAATGGCCAACAAACATGAAAAAATGCTCAACATCATTAATGATGAGGGAAATGCAAATCAAAGCCACAGTGCGAAACTGCCTTCCTCCTGCAAGAATGGCCATAACCAAAAAATCAGAAAGTAATAGATCTTGACGTGGATGTGGTGAAAAGGGAGCACTTTTACACTGCTGGTGGGAATGTAAGCTAGTACAACCACTGTGGAAAACAGTGTGGAGATTCTGTAAAGAACTACAAGTAGATCTATCGTTTGATCCAGCAATCCCATTCCTGTATCTATAATGAGGAATAGAAGTCATTATACAAAAAAGATACTGCACATGCATGTTATAGCAGCACAATTTGCAATTGCAAAAATATGGAACCAGCCCAAATGCCCATCAATTGATGAGTGAATAAAGAAATTGTGGTATAAATATATACTACTCAGCCATAAAATTGAATGAAATAACACCGTTCACAGCAACCTGGATTGAATGGGAGACCATTATTTTAAGTGAAGTAACTCAGGAATGGAAAACCAAACATCCTGTGTTCTCACTCATAAGTGGGAGCTAAGCTATGAAGATGCAAAGACATAAGAATGATACAGTGGACTTTGGGGATTCAGGGGAAAGGGTGGGGGAGTGCTGAGGGATAAAAGGCTACACGTTGGGTGCAGTGTACACTGCTTGGGTGATGGGTGCACCAAGATCTCAGAAATCACCACTAAAGAACTTTTTCGTGTAACCAAACACAACCTGTTCCCCAAAAACCTATTGAAATATTTTTTTTCAAAGCCTTTCCCCTTGGTCAAAAAAGAAAAGTTCTCCTTAGCACACCAGCCTCTTCCAGACTGACCCTAGACTACTCAGGGATACCTTATGCACAGGAACACTGAGTTTACTTGAGTCCATTGGCTGTATATATTTTTTCACATTGGTTTTTTTCTTTGCATCTTTGAATTTTGGAGTTCCAAAGGCTTGATGGTGTTTTTACTGTGAGCCATGAACTAGTTGAATGAATTAATTCTGCCAAGCAAATGGACATTAATTCTTCCAGGCTTTTTTTAAAGGGAGTAAAATCAATCCCATGAAGAAAGACTGACTGCTACGCTACTGGTATGCCAAATATCAGGCATATCAAGTATCAACAATATTTTTTAGTATAATTATTAGATATAAATTACTATATCTCACTTTCAAAAATAACAACTAGTGTTTCAAATTTTGTTCATCTCAGCTGGGTATCGTGTATACATTGCTGATTTTTCATTTCATGAACATTAAGTTTTTTGTTTCTGAAACTTAGTAAATTTTATCCAGGTATAAAGTGTAGGATTTTAATTTTTGTAAATTTTTCTTATTTTGTGAGGCATCAAAGACCTGTCTTATCTCTCCATTTATTTCATCCCAGTCATTCCTGCTCTATTCCATTATATAATATCTTGCTTCTCTGTTTCATCAGGTAAACCTGGGATTTAAGGGTGTAATTAAAACATTTCTGATAGGAAGGTTGCTTGATAAAGGTTAGTCATTACCTTGCAGGGTCGTATTTCTTGGAGAAGTCACCAAATCTGATTCTGGCTTTCGGCTTTCTATGTCAAGAAACTTAATCATGTTTATCAGATTCAGGAAGACTAATTACCTAGACTTTACAATGTAATGAAATTTAAGCCAGACTAGCACTTCGTTTACCTAGAATGAGAATTACGAATGTGGCCAAGACTGTATAGTCATTTCCTCTGATTTTTATTACCCTTATAAGGAAATCTTTTTTTTTTTTTTTTTTTTTTTGAGATGGGGTCTCGCTGTGTCACCCAGGCTGGAGTGCAGTGGCATGATCTTGGCTTACTGCAACCTCCGCTTCCCAGGTTCAAGCAGTTCTCCTGCCTCAACTTCTGAGTAGCTGGGATTACAGGCATGCACCACCACACCTGGCTAATTTTTGTATTTTTAGTAGAGACGGGGTTTCTCCTGTAATCCCAGCACTTTGGGAGGCCGAGGCGGGTGGATCACCTGAGTTCAGGAGTTTGAGGCCAGCCTATAAGGAATTCTGTATGAAAAGCCAAATTATAATCAGAACTCTTTAACAGTATTCAGATTTGGAAGAAAAGTCTAACCTGTGGAAACCAGTTTGGGTGTGGAACTTCAAAATAAAAATATATGTATACATTTATTTTTGTGTTTGGTACTGTATTTTGAATTTATGTCATCTATGAAAGTGACTTTTAAAGTAGCAGCTTTAATTAGGTACTTGTCTCTAGAATTAACTGCATCTCTTGCCCTATGTCAAGTACCTTTATATGTCTAATTTGGTTAATAACTCTCCAGATTAACTAAATTTGTTCACTTTATACAAATTTGATCAGAATATTGATTGTTCTTCAGTATTATAGGATTATTTTAGTTTCTCTTTAAATCAACTTAAATAACTCTGTAGAGTTGGCCAGTATTCATTAACATCCTGATAATGGCATGACGGTGACTGATTTGTGCCCAGCTACCACACCCAGGGAGCTGCTCTCTGGCAACCATTCTCTCTCTCTTCCCTTCCTCTTTTCCTCCCTCTCCTAGATAAGCTACCATAGGGAAACTTTCAGTAGGCACTGTGACCCCTTGACTTAATGTTTTGGATCTAACATTTTGCCCTCTTTGTGTTTTCTTTCTGTTACTAATCTCAGTGTAGCACAGCTGTGGTGGTGTAACTAACTCTCAGATTGATTCCAGACTTCAAAATTACATAATTTGGAAAAAAACTGGCCAGAATAGGGAGACAGGGATGGGCTGAAGGAACTGAAATTGGTTCTAAGAGTAATACCCCTTTGGGAATAACTAGAAGTGTCAGGGATAATTCATTGTAACATTTGATTTGTATTTGTGATACTTAAACGCATGTAAAATAGGAGCAAAGCAAATTAGACTAAATTAAATTCTGATAATTTTATGTTAGTCTTGGTTCATCTATAGCTATATAAATAATAATACTGTTTAAGTGTTTTCTCTATTTTATGTGGAGAGTTTCTCAGGTATTATTTTCCTAGTACTGAAATGTGTCTTTTTTTTTTCTTTCTTTCTTTTTAACACAGTTCTGAAAGATTGGTGTTGCTGGCAGGTGGTAGCCTGGAGATCAGTGATGTTACTGAGGATGATGCTGGGACTTATTTTTGTATAGCTGATAATGGGAATGAGACAATTGAAGCTCAAGCAGAGCTTACAGTACAAGGTATGTAAATATTTACTGTATAATTTTAAAATCCTGTGTACTTTCTGGGTCTGCTAATTTTTAAAAAATATTAACATGGTCGAGGCAATACAGCAAAACAATTAAAAGCATAACTCCTAGACCAGACTGCTTGGGTTTAAATTCTAAAACTTATGTTTCCTAGATATATGACTATAGGAAACTTATTTAATTTCTCTGAACCTCATTTTCCTCAGCTGTAAAATGGAAATAATAAGAGTGTTTACCTTATTGGGATTGTTTGAGGGTTAAAAGAGCTAATACTTGTAAAACCCCTGGAATAGTGACTAGAATATTGTAAAAGCTCAATGTTAGCTATTGTTATTATTTTGAGTAGTAGTAGTAGTAGTGACAGGAAGGGTATGATCTGGGGCATCTGGAAGATTCACTTTTCTTCTCTCAGGATGTTTTCTGATGAAGATGTCTCTATTCTATGACCCCGAATTATGTTTCTCCTCTGTGTTGGTGTCCTTTTTTTTGGGTGAACAGATCACCCAGGAAGGAGCATACTGTGCCTCTCAATATAGCTTGGTTTCATGATTTGGTGTTTATTTTCCTCTGTTCATACGTCTGATAATTACTGCAAGGGTAGTTGTTCTTCCTTTTTCTCCATACTCTTCCCTTTTCCCCTTGTAGGTTCTCTGATTCAGACGTCAGAAAATAAAGATGTCATGTATACGTAGTCTTGTCTTTATTCCCATCTCCTTTGCCATTCCTCCATATGGAAATGTACCCTCAAGTGCTGGCTAGAGGTGATTAAAATGACCAAAGGTCACTTTTCTACCTCTTCTTCCCACCCCTTCGGAACTCCCAGATTGGTAGCTTTCAATCTAGAAAGACTGCTCCCAGTGCTGTTTCTCCCTAAGAGTTAGGAGTGCTGTTTCACTCACTGTAGTCTCTGCTCACTGCAGCCTCTCCCTTTGTCACCCAGGCTGGAGTGGAGTGGCACAGTCTCTGCTCCCTGCAGCCTCGACCTCCTGGGTTCAAGGGATCATTGTGCCTCAGCCCCACAAGTAGTTGAGACTACATGCATGTGCTGCCATGCCCAGTTAGTTTTTGTGTTTTGGGTAGAGATGGGGTTTCATCATGTTGCCCAGGCTGGTCTCGAACTCCTGGGCTCAAACGATCCACCTGCCTGGGCCTCCCAAAGTTCTGGGATTACAGGCATGAGCCACTGTGCCTGGCCAGAGAAAGGTATACCATTGATGAGCAAACTCATGAATTGGAAGATTACATTGAGTAATTCTCTGAGAATACAGCATTAAATGATAAAGAAAGATAACACATGGAGTAAAATCTAAGAGATATGATAGGTACATGTAGAAGGACTATCTAGATAAATAGATATCTTAGAGGAGAGAAAGGAAGAGGCAAATATTTGAAGAAATAATTAAGATACATTTTTCAGAATTAGACTTGTAGAACACCTTAGACTAAAAGGACTTACAGACTGTTAAATAGGTGAAAGAAGGAAAAACCCACCTTGAGGTCCATTTACAGTAACATACAATAATATATAATTATATATACAGTAACATATAATATCAAAGACAAAAAAATTCTAAAAGCGTCCAGTGACAAAGAGCAGATCACCTACAAAAGGAAAATAATTGGATTGAACCTAAGTGTTGATTTGAGAAATCTGGTATCAAGAGGACAATAGAGTAATCTTTTTAAGGTGTTAAAGGACATTGAATACACACAATCTATATGCATCCAAAATGTGAGGCACAATAAAAATTATCACATAAGACCTCTGAAGGTTTGCTACACAAACATACATTGAAAACACTTTTGGAATAAATACTCAATAAAAGATATATCTGGGAAATACTGCAAGAGCCTTTTAAAACAAAGGGGGAGTTTTAAAACAGCTCCCAGATTCCAGATTCTTTGACTATCCTTCTGAGAGCGGTGGAGTTTATGTCTCTTGCTCTTGAATCTGGGCGGGCTTGGAGCTATTTGGATCAATGGAGTATGGCAGAAGTCGTATGTGACTTCTGAGGCCTTTAAAAAGTTATGCATTGGTTGTCATACTTGGAGAGAATTTCTTTAAAAAGAAAAGGCAGTGCAGATTTTTCCTGGCTCTCTTGATGCTAAGAATGTACAATGGGGAAAGCATAGTCTCTTCAGTAGATGGTGCTGGAAAAACTGGATAGCCACATGTGGGAGAATGAAATCAGACCCTTATCTCTTATATACACCACACACAAAAATCAACTCAAAATGGATTAAACACTTAAACATAACACCTGAACTGTAAAACTACTAAAAGAAAAGAGGGGAAAAGCTTATTGACATTGGTCTTGGCAAAGGTTTTTTGGATGTGACCCCAGAAAACAGGCGACAAAAGCAAAAATAGATAAATTGGATTGCATTGAACTGAGATGCTCCTGCCAGTGATGGAAACAGTCGGCAGTGAAGAGACAACCTATGGAATGGGAGAAAATATTTGCAAACCAATGAAAACAGAAGAAGGAAATGATGACAAGAGCAAAAATTAATGAAATAAAAAAAAACAAACATTCAAAACAGAGAATGTCAGCAAAGCCAAAAGTTGGTTCTTTGTAATGCATAACAATATTGATAAATCCCAGAGAAGACATACATAATTTGACAGAGATCTTTATCTAGACCCCGGGTTGTCAGAGTACTGCTTGTGGGCTAAATCTTCCTGACTGCTTGTTTTTGTACAGCTTGTGAGCTAAAAATAGTTTATACATTTTTAAATAGTTGAAAAATATCAGAAGAATAATATCTTGTGATACATGAAAATTTTACGAGATTTCAAAATTTATTGTTCATGCAGTCTTACTGGCATACTGCCACATTCATTCATTTATGTATTGCCTATGACTGCTTTCATGCCACTACACAGGAGTTGAGTAGTTGTGACAGAGACCATATGGCTCACAGAGCCTAAAATATTTACTGTCTGGCTCTTTAGAGAAAAAGTTTGCCAATCCCTGCTGTAGGTTCTACAAAGAACTACAGATCGGTAAGATAAACAAAGAGAAACCAATAGAAAATGGGCAAAAGACTTGAACATCGACCTGGAAGAAGATGTCCAGCTAGCTATTAATATTTGAAAAAGTGGTTGTCATCATTAGTCTTCAGAGAAATGCAAATAAAAACCACAGTGGGATATCACTATATTCCACTAGAATGGCTAAAATTGAAAAGCTTAACAAATACCAGGCATTGGTTAGGATGAAAAACACTGGGAACTCTAATGTACTGTTGACAGGAGTATACACTGACACAATCACTTCAAATTCTGTTTGGCAGAATCTATACACTGGCTAGGCACAGCGGCTCATGCCGGTAATCCCAGCACTTTGAGAGGCTGAGGCCGGAGGATCACTTGAGGCCGCGATTTGAAGACCATCCTGGGCAGCATAGTGAGACCCTATTTCTACAAAAAATGAAAAAATTAGCTAGGCATGGTGGCATGCACCTGTAGTTCCAGCTACTCGGGAGACTGAAGCAGGAGGATTGCTTGAGCCAAGGAATTTGAGGTTATAGTGAACTACGATCGTGCCACTGCATTCCAGTATGGGTGACAAAGCAAGACCATCTCTAAAAAATAAAAACTTAAAAAAAAAAAACTGTGCACAGAAATACCCTGTGATACAGTAGGTGTATTCCTAGGAGTATACTTACCAGAAATGTATAATTATATGCCCCCAAAACCATGGACAATAATGTTCTTACTAGGAATAATTCAAATGTCCATCAAAATACAACTGTAGGGTAGTGTTCCAGTCATATAATGGCAAATTATCAGCAATGGAAATTGACAGATCACTGCTACATTCAACAATGTGGATAAATCAGAAACACCCTTAAAGAAGAAGCCAGACACAAAAGAATACCTACTATATATGTAATTATATTATTATGTATAATTCCATTTGTGTAAAGTTCAGAAACAGACAAAACTAATCTGTGGTTTTAGAAGTCAGAATAGTGATTACTTTTGGAGAAGGGCAGAGTAGTTACTGAATGTTGCACAGCCCGGTTTCTGGTGTGTTTATGTTCTGTTTCTTAATCTGGGTGGTAGTTACAATTCAAGCTGTATCGTTCATGTGTGCCACGTGAGATCATCTCTTTTCTTTTTTTTTTTACTGTTTACAGATTAGAACTCATAATGTGCAAAAACATATTTGGAAAATTTTGTTTTGAGCCCTGTCCCATAACTGAAAGCATTTATTTTTCAGATAGGGAGAGTAGATTTTGAGAAATAACTGGAGATAGATATATATAAATACAGTCATACCTGTCTGACTTCTGTTATTTTTTTAAGAAGTTATAACTATAGGAAATGCCATAGTGAGTGCTAATGTAGAAAAGGTTGTAAGTTCATTTTTCATCTGTTAAATGTTTCAGATTTATTGTCTTATCATTAACTTCTGGAGTTTCTACACATGCAGTGACGTGAATTAGCCCATCATGTATTTCCTGTCATCTCAGATTGTTGATAACACTTAAAATGGGTCATGAGGGTTTTTTAAAACAGAAACTTTTCCTTTTTTTCTTATAACAGTTACAATAGACTGTGATACACATGTCCTCTCCCCCACCACCAAAAAGAAATTTTTCCATTTGTATTTTTGTGGAACAAATTGATAAATTCTAAATTGGCTACCCCGTTGACATTGTAAATACCTATAACTAATCTACCACTTAAGTTTTAAACCTGGCTGTCTTTCCTTAAGCCACAGCCTATGTCACTCTACTTCTTTGACTCTTCTGCTCTACTCTTATCTCTGGCCACATTAAGACATTGATCTCCCCTTTTCTCTCAGTCTTTGTGATTTCACTTCCCTTTACTTCATGATCAGTTACAGTATTCTGCTGTCATTCATTAGAACTCTGAGTTCTCTTGGCTTCGGGATAAAAAGCAAATTCCTTATGTCTGCATACAGAGCACATCCAGACCCTTCATAGTCGGCTTTTTCAGCGTTAAATGGAGTTAACAC